CCCGACCAGACCCCAACACCTACTGTGTCTCGGTGACGGTGCATGCGTCAAAGCCCCTTGGCCTGTCGGTCTACAACATCTACGCACCTCCAGCGCGTTGGACAACAGGCCAGGGCACCCAGGAGCAGGGATTCCAGCCGGACGGGATCAGACTGGAGCACCCCGCCGTGGTGTGCGGTGACTTCAACGCACACAGCCTCAGCTGGGACACCTACCAGACCGAGACAGCACTCGGAGAGGCCATTGAGGACTGGGCCGTCGACAACGGCATGACCATCCTCAATGACGGCGGGTGTACCAGGCAAAACCCCAGCACCGGCGGAGTCTCTGCACCAGACGTCTCACTGGCCTCCAGGGACCTCCTGCGATCAAGAGACGTCACCTGGGTGACGCAGCGAGGAATCGGCTCTGACCATCTGCCGATCCTCGTCACACTGTCTTCGTCTGTGCAACGTCCACGACGGGAAGGCCGAGGCCGGTTCTCCCACCGGAGTGCGGACTGGCCCAAGTTTCGGGAGGAGCTGGATCAGCTGATCAACGCCTGGTCGGCCCAGCCAACCTCCCTGAACGAGGCCGCCAGCAGGCTAGCAGCCACTATCCTGCGGGCGGCCAGGGCCAGCATCCCCTTCGGAAACGGCCGAGGGCGACGCCCGCCCTTCTGGAACCAAGCCTGCCAGGACGCAACCGATCGACGGGAAGAGGCACGGGTAGCTGCATCCCGTAGCCGCTCTCGCGCGGACGTCCTGCGCTACCAGGAGGAGCGGGCAGCGGCCGACAAAGTCGTGGACAACGAGAAGACCGCCTTCTTCCGTCAAAAGGCGGCAGACCTCAAGCCGGACGGAGACATGTGGCACCTGATCCGCACCATGGACGGCCGGCGTCCTCCAGCTAAGCCGGCCGTAGCCATCTCAAGACCGGGCACGGAGGGACAACCTGCGCAACCGACGAGACCAGCCGTCACTGACAAAGAGAAGGCAGATCTCTTTTGCCAGGCCTACGCGCAGGTGTCCCGCCTGCCCAAGGACAAGACCTCAGATCATTCCATCAAGATCGAGGCTAGACGAGCCACGAGCCAGACGTGCTGCAACGGCGGTCGCGACGCCTTCTGCTCGCCCTTCTCCCGCAGAGAGCTCCTGCTCGGCATCAGGAAACTGCGGAAGGGACGCAGCCCCGGGGTCGATCAAGTGACCAACGACATGCTCCACCAACTCAGCCCTTCAGCGGAACGCCATCTGCTGGAGGTGCTGAACTGGAGCTGGCGCACCGGGGAGGTTCCCGCGTCATGGAGGGCGGCGGAAATAGTCGCTATTCCCAAGAAAGGGAAACCGCCTAACGAGACCGGCAGCTACAGACCGATCAGCTTGCTAAGCTGTATCGGAAAGCTCGCTGAACGACTCGTGCAGCATCGCCTCCAACACTGGCTCGAGCGCGCCGGAAAGCTGAACCGAAACCAGGCCGGTTTTCGAAGGGGCCACTCTACACTGGACCAGCTAGCCCGAGTCACCCAGACCATCTTTGACGGTTTCGAGTCCAAGAAACCGCAGCGAGCCATCCTCGTCCTCCTGGACTACGCGCGAGCGTACGACCGGGTGTGGCGGGATGCGCTGTACGCTAAGATGCGGCGACTGGGTGTGCCGGGTTGCGCCACACGCTGGATCAGGGCCCTACTCAGCGACCGGCGCGCTAGAGTGAGATGGGGTACGTCAGCCTCCCGGTGGCGGGTCTTCCAGGAGGGCCTGCCGCAGGGCAGCGTGCTCGCCCCTCTCCTCTGGCTCATCTACTGCAACGACATCGACGACCAACTCCGGGCCGGAGACTCGAGCCCAACGGTCTCCCTCTTCGCGGATGATGTGGCCCTTCTCGCGACGGGCCGCTCTCTGCAGGAGTGTGCGGACAGGCTCCAACCGGCCCTGGACGAGGTCAGCCGCTGGGTGAAGACTTGGAAGGTCCAACCTAGTCCATCCAAGTGCGTGATGACCACCTTCACGCTGGACCCCAAGGAGTGTGGCGGCAAGGTCAAGCCCCAGCTCAGCTTCTGCGACCATCCGCTAGGCTACGAGGAGACGCCCACCTTCCTCGGCCTGAAGTTGGACTGCCAGCTGACCTTCGCCGCCCACATCGCCGCCCTCAGAGAGAAGATGGCAAAGCGCCGTGCTTGCCTGTCAGCGATTGCCGGAAGGAGCTACGGAAGCCACCGTAGCACACTCCGCATCGCCTACAAGAGCTACGTGCGCTCCCTCTTCGACTACGGGGCGGCCATCTACTTCACCCATGCGGCACCGGCTGTTCGCGAGCGCCTGGAGGTAGAGCAGCGGAAATGTGCGCGCCTGATTACCGGCTGCATCAAGCTCACGGATAAGGAGACCCTGGTGGCGGAGGCAGGCCTCCCTCCGCTATCACTCCGTGCCAAGGAGCTAGCAGCCGGCGAGTACGCGCGCATAGTCCGTCTACCTCCGGGAGACCCCGCTCGCAACCTACTGGACAAGACACCACCACCGAGACTCCGCTACCGGGCCCACGAGGCATGGAGGCGCGCGGTGACGTCTGCCGAAGAGGCGGGTCTGCCACCGCCGCCACCGGCAGACGAAGACGCGACCCTCTCATTCAAGCCATGCTTCCGTCGGGTCGGTAGGTGGGTCTGCGACAGGGCGGGCTTGAGCGACCTCCCAGTGGAGCCCCTGGCACTTTACCAGGGCGCACCACCCTGGCACCACTGTGGAGACGCCGTCCGTTTCGTGCTGGACCTGCCGCAGCCCACAAGGAGGACAGACCTGCCGGAAAAGAGAAAGGAGGCGGCGTTAGCGGCGCTGGCCCTCGTCCCCGATCCAGACTGTACCATCTGGTCGGACGGATCCGCCAAGGAAGGCACCATCCAAGGCGGCGGTGGAGCGATCCTGGAGCTTCACCGCGAGGGACGCACAATAGAGTGCGTGGCACCGGCCGGTCGAGTGTGCAGCAGTATGAGGGCGGAGCTGGTGGCAATGACGGAGGCCCTGACGTGTCTCCATGAGCTACCGGCCCCCTCTAAAGCACTCATCAAGAGAGTGCTGCTCTGCACAGACTCCCGGTCGGGGCTCCAGCTACTTAGCCGCGGCCCGGACGACCAACAGTCGGCCATCGGTCAGCGCGTCTGGGGCCTAATAGACGCGCTGACAGCCGCAGGGAAGGATATCACCCTGCACTGGGTCCCGGGCCACGCCGACCTCGCCGGCAACGAGGCAGCCGACCGCCTCGCCAATCAAGCCGCCGCCGACTGCGCTCAAGAGGAGGCCCCGATCAACCTCTCCAGCGCGCGGACAGCCATCCGTCGCTGGACATCGGAGCTGGCCTCCGCAAGGGCGCAGCGGCACCCACATCGAGAACCTACTCCGAGCCACGATGAGCTGGACAGGTGGGGCCAGGCCACCCTGTCCCAGCTTCGCACCGGCTACTGCCCACTGGTGCGAGCCACAGCTCATCGCCTCGGCCTGGTCGAAGACCCGACCTGCCGAGCCTGCGGCGAGGAGGAGGAGGACGTGGAGCACCTCCTGGCCGGGTGCCCTGCACACGTGGCGGCGAGGGCCGGCTTCTGGGGGCACTGTCCGACCCTGGCGGAAGTGCTCTCGGGGCCGGCCCAACACATCATCAGTTATCTGAAGAGAGTGGGGCGGGTGCAGGTCGCCACCGACCCGCCCCCGCCGGCCGCGCCTTAAGGCGCGGTCCGCGACCGCGCAGAAGAGAGAGAGCTGTGCCGACTGGGCGCCGCCAAGCCTCGCTGTGACCTGCTGGCCGCCGGGGACGTCAGCCTCATCATGGTCTTCCTGGACGCGCTGTCGAACGTGCTGAGGTGCGCCGAGCAGGTGGACCGGGAGGGCACCGTGGCTCTCCAGGTGGATGAGTGCGGCGGCCTGGACCGCATCGAGTCGCTGCAGACGTACGAGGAAGAGCCGTCCTCATCATCGGCAGGCACTTCGACGATGACGACGGGGAGGACGCTGAGGTGGCGGTGCCCGCCGCCGCCGCCGATGGCTTCCAGCTGAGCGTTGACACAGATGCGGCCACGGCCGGCGACCTCCAGTTCTATGACGGCGGTCTGCGCGGGACAGTCATGAGAGTGGTGCGCCGGTGATGCGAGAAGTGGACTTAAGTTATGAAAATGGGGCAAGCCCCATTTTGGTGGGGAGTATGTTAGAACTCAGTCAATTTAGTTGTCTTTTCGCCCGCTTGTGTCGGCTCGGCCGCCCGTATTTCTCCTCGGCCGACGCGCGGCCGCTGTATTGCGGCACAGCATCTCTCGCTGGAGCGGGGCTGTGCGGCGCGGACTCGTGCAGTGATTGGTCGGCTGCTGACCACGTGATTGTGAGGCGAGGTCGGGTGAGGGCGCGCCGGCGGAGGGCAGTCGGGCAATGTCTGTTGTCGCGGCTGGTGCGTTGGGACCTCGAATGTTATATGCGTTTGCTGGGGACGTCGGCAGACTCGTCTGAGAGGCTTGCTGTCGACTTACTCGGCGACGCATATGCATTCGAGGGTCTAAATCTGGGACTGAGTCTGTCCGGCTCGTTCCTCATTCGCTTTTTGGCCCCAACCACCGATAGCACAGCGCCGTGAATATGTAAGCCTTACTAGTCTGAGCGGCCTGTTCGGCGAGCATATTCACGGAGCTGTTCGTAACATTGGAGCGTGCCTTGCAAGGTCGCTATTCCACACGGCTGTCAGCCTATTCAAGGGCGGTATTTTCTTGGGGTTCCTCGAGCGTCTCTCGAGATTCACTAGTATATTTCTACGCCAGTTGCGATTGGTCGCTGTTTATATCGAGTCCCTCAATAGCCGGGGTTTTTGGCAAGTGATCATCTTGTTTGTCTGGGTCTTGTTGACCAAAAATACATCCGCCTGGTGTATTTATACCGTTCTTTAACTTGGAATCGCAACACGAGGGTACTCAAAGTTTCGTTGCGATCGGACGCTTTTTACGCGAGTTATTCGCGAAGAAACTGAGGGGGTGGGTCCGTTCGACCCCCTCCCCCCTATACGGGCGAGGGTGTTTACAAATCCATGATCATCCCCCAACCTGGAAACTCATGTGTATGGTGGAAAATGGGGAAATTGGATGTTAGTGTCTTGCTATTTGTGTGTGTTTTGTCAAGAATTAAAAATTAATCAAGGGGGGCTCTAAGCTTCCCAAGGGGGGCTCAGTTCAGCACAGGGGGGGGGGCTCAAGCCCCCCCAAAGAGATATAAAGTTACGCCCCTGGTAACGAGCAGCGAGTGCCATGTACCAATTTGCACCTGAACCGAGCTCCACTATTCAACCCTCTGCTAAGTTCAGAAACAATAAATAGCACTTCACCAACGCTGTCCATTTTTCTTCGCCTCGTCTAACAAAATCTATTCCCATAGTTTTATATGGTACGTTTCTTTGAGCATGATTGTAATAAATAAAAATGGTAAAATTGACCTTATGCTCATAATATCAGATAAATTAATTGAAAAAAGGTCCAGAATATATTTTCGAACTTGGTTCTTCTTCGGTGGAATCAAATCCTCTCGCCATTTTTGATTCCACCGAAGAAGAACCAAGTTCGAAAATATATTCTGGACCTTTTTTCAATTAATTTATCTGATATTATGAGCATAAGGTCAATTTTACCATTTTTATTGATTAAAATCTATTCCAGCTAAAAAAAAAAACGCTTCCTGGAGCAGCGATTCCCGTACAACGCAATTTAGAGTGAGCACCTGCCAAACTGCACGATCATTTCAATGAAAAACTTGGCCCCTGTCGGTGTCTTTGTCACTTCCATGTAGGCGGCAGCAGCCAGCAGCTGGTCCAGGGGGCTGGCGTCTACTACGATCTTGTTCGCAGCGGCGGTGACTGGCGCATGGTGGCGACACTGCGATGCAGTACCTGGAGGGAGAGACGAAACACCATTCAGTCCTCCGGAGTGTGCCTTCGGTTACTGTTTAGAATAAGCGGTTGAAAAAAAAACACCGACGAATGTGCTGACTTGATAGTCAACAGAGAGGAAAGGAATGGCGATTCTACTGCCGCGACATTTTCTACCGCTAGATGGCAGGAAGAGCGAGCGCCTGAAGTTATGCTGTACCGCAAAGCTTTAGAGATCGAGAATCGCCGCCAGCAGTGCGGAAAATGGCTCCAGATATAGAGCTGTTGAAGGAGCTGCCATTCGTGGTTCCGAATCTAACGGCTTTCAAACTGCAGGGCATGCTTCGGCCCTGTCCCTTACCTACCAGTGAAATGTGCGCGCTCTTGCTCGGTAGCGTCAGCTGGTACCGCGGTCGCCGCATCGACGGGTCTGGCTGGCCCCTCGCCGGCATCAGGGGCGACAGGAAAATCGCCGTCACTCGTCGGTGATGTCGGGGCAGGCTGGTGTGCCTGGACCGAGCCTGACAAAGGCAAAGCACGTGTCTGCATGAGGGGTAACGAGCAGCGAGTGAAAATAGCGAGTGAAATATGTGACCAAAGAAAAATGAGTTAGTTACGTATGCGCGAAGACCACAGATCAGAACAAATTCGTAGAACAGAGAGATCAGAAGTATGTTCCTGTCCGTGTGACTGGACGGGCGGTCGGCGGTCACGATAGCGCAAAGGCTAGATTAATTGTATTAATAACTTAATGCTATAAACAAATATTTTTTTAATAATAAGGCGATACAAATTTACCCGGCAATGTGCCTGCAGCCAGAAGCAGCAGCTCCACTGGCGAAGGAACACCATCAGCCGGTTGCGCTTCGCTTTTGCGGTGCCGGCCGGGCCGGGTCGTAGGCAGCCACGGATGCAGCCTTCTCGGTAAAGTAATCTTGGCCTTCTCCGGTGCCTTGACAGTTGCGATTTTGATATCGCTTTTTGGCAGTAGCCGCAGCGAACCGCGCTGGGCCACATTACTTTTGGAGCTCACAAATTCGCAATAAAAAAACGCCAATCCGCAAATTCATTCATAATCCTAATCACAATAAAAAAGTACAAACAAATCAAATGAATGAAAAGATTAACGGTAAATCGCCGTTAGCAGTACTAAATAAACCGTCGATTCTACCCTTTAATCACTACTGCACAAGAATGTCGAATTTTGTTTAGGTTGTCGAGTTTTGTTCGTGGTTTTGCGAAAAATATTTGATTTTCTAGCGCGAGAACACTGTGTGCGCTTAAAACACGGGCGCCTTCTAGCTTACTTTCGAGTTACACGTTTAACGTGGTTAAATCGCGATCTGTCCATTCCATGTCGTAGACTATATATTCCGTGCTAATATTAAGAGGCTAAGAAATCGGTAAAAAGTCGGTACTTCCCTCATTTTCCCAAGTTGGTTTTTTCGGCATTTCTCCGTAGTTTTGGTTGGTATTTGGCTTGGTACCGTATTCTGATTTTCCGTAATTGACATCACTATAGTTCGTTTTTTTCAAAAGGACGCTGGCTCCAAGTTCATTATCGAAGCTCTCACGTGAGTTTTGGCAGCTTCAGTGTCTGGTCAAGAATTTCTTACCGAAAAAAAAATAATATTTCAAATTGTGCACGGTAAGTAGCTGGAAGTTGTGTCTTAAAAATGAACATACTATGACAGTGGCGCAGCCAGGATTTCGTTTCGGGGGGGTCATCGCTTCCAAAGCGGGCCCCCTAGTGTGCGGGCCCCCACCCATTTGTCAGAATCTCTCCATATTTCATACGCATTCTGCTGGGCGGGCCCCCTTTACCTGCACGATAACCCTGAGCGAGTTTGAATCAGAAAATTTGCATAGAACAGTAGCTCGGTAATCACCCGGTCTTCACTTTTTACGCAAATTGACCACGACAGAAATATGTTACTATGACGTATGACTTCGTATCTTTCGAGTCCGATATGAGCCCCAATTCCGCAATATGCATAGCATATTATATGCAATCGGAACTGTTGCCTGCTTCTGTCGCACAAGATTTAAAAGTAGTCCCATGTGCCTGTCCTAAGTCATCTATTGGCTGCTGTAGTAGATTGTGCTTTTATTCTTCTTCATTACGTGAATTCGCTCGTAAGAAGTTTTAACCCTCGCCGGCACAGGGGGGAGGGGTTGATGCAACCCCCTAAGGTTTTTTTTGCGAAGAACTCGCGTAAAAAAGCGGCTGATCGCGACGTAACTTCCATAGTGCGCTGAAATTCGCGCAACTTATAGAACAAGGATGGGTAACGTGCCTGTGAAGAGTCACAGCTCGATCGGGCCGGTGGTGAGCACATGGCGCGTGCTCAAAAAGTGCAAATTCGCGTCATAGACTTTACATGCATAAATCGGCTTGCAAAAATGGGCGACAATGGCGCAACTTGCCCGACACGGGTCCGGTCCCCGTGCAGTATCTCGGTAACCGTGGGTCCGATCGGCACGAAGAACACAGTATCGTGCATGAGAATCGAACGGGCTATCGAATGGTGTGCGGTGCAGGGATGGCACGCGCCACGTGCACCCGTGAGGGCACTTATGCTGGAAAAATTGACGTTTTGGACGGATTTTGGACTTAATGCTATTTTTGGGTGACTGTCAGACGGAGCGGGTTCAAACAACGCTTGTTGGCAAGAGAAATGTACCTACCGCCTCTCATGGGAAAATTGTGAAAAGCTAATTGATCAAAAACAAGGTGGAACAAATTGCTGGAGAAAATAGCATTTGCTTATGACTTACTTAATTACAGGGGTTTTGCTACATAACCTGGTATGTTTGACAATTGAAATGGGCATAGATTGGAAGAGCATTCAATTGTGACCAAGGTCCAATCATCGCTTTTGCATGACGAGCAACAATATTCTTAAGAATATAAATGTTTCAAACCTCTACATAGTAATTCATCGATGGCTTTCACTCTTCAATAACCTACGCCAACCTATGTCATGAAATACACTTGGCATGTTCTATAGTAGAACGCATGGTTATTATCAGACACGAGCACCTCGATGCGATGGATATTTTTTCCCAAAACCAAAATGCTTAGCCGTCAAAAGGCAATCGACCGTAATGGATACATAACCCACAGACACAAGACCAACCAAACGCCCACCGATCGAAAATACCCCTTATTCGCGTTGCGAAGCAAGCGGGTCACCCTAGCGGGCCCCATTCACCCGGGGGCTCGGGCCCTATCCACATGGGGGACCAAGCCCTATCCATACGGGGGCCCGGGCCACGTTCACCTGGGCTCCGGGCCTCGTCCACCCGGGGCTCCGGGGCCCGCCCACCAGGGGGGCCCGGGCCCCATCCAGCCGGGGGCCCGGGCCCCGTCCACCCGGGGCCTGGGGTCCGTACTCCCGGGGGCCCGGACCCATCCATCGGGGGGCCCTGGCCCCATCTACCCGGGGGGCCGTGCCCCATCCACCTAAGGGGCCCGGGCCCGTTCTCCCGGGGCCCGGGCCCCATCCACCCGGGGGCCTGTGCCCTATCCACCCAGGGGCCCGTGCCCTATCCACCCAGGGGGCCCGGGCCCGTTCTCCCGGGGCCCGGGCCCCATCCAACCGGGGGTCCGGCCCCGTCCACCCGGGGCTCAGGGCCGTTCTCCCGGGGGCCCGGGCCCCATCCAGCCGGGGGCCCGGGCCCCCTCCACCCAGGGGGCCCGGGCCCGCTCTCCCGGAGCCTCGGGCCCCATCCACCCGAGGGGCCTGGACCCGTTCTCGCGGGACCCGGGGGTCCGGGCCCCGTCCACCCGGGGCCCGTTCTCCCGGTGGCTCGGATCCATCCACCGGGGCCCCATCCGCCGGGGGGCCCGGGCCCTATCCACCCGGGGGCCCGGACCCATCTACAGGGGGCCCGGGTCCCATCCACCCAGGGGGCCGGGCCCGTTCTCCTGGGGGCCCGGGCCCTGTCCACCTGGGGCCCCAGGCCGACCCCTCACCCGAGGTGTCGCAGTGGGCATTTCTCGAAGCGGGCTCGTCCGATTAGATTAGGACCTCTCTCTCTCCTCTCTCTCTCTCTCTCTCTCTCTCTCTCTCTCTCTCTCTCTCTCTCTCTCTCTCTCTCTCTCTCTCTCTCTCTCTCTCTCTCTCTCTCTCTCTCTCTCTCACTCTCTCTCTCGAGCGGGCCCCTGACAGAAATTTCGGGGGGGTCAGCTGACCCTCTGACCCCCCCCTGGCTGCGCCACTGTACTATGATGGCGTCACTGGTGGCAGCGGGCACCCAAATATCCGTGCAATGGGACAAAGTTTTGACGAATTCGGGTGAAACTTCGTTTTTCACTGATGCCAAGGCTATAATCGAGTAAGCGGTTCCGTCCATGATAGTTATGTTACGGGTCATATGCTAACTTGGGCAGTGTGCAAACTACCCGGGCAGTATGCATAATTGCATACTACCCAACAGCCCGGGCAGTAGGTATGCATACCGCCTGGGTAGTATGCATACCTACTACCCGCCCCTTGGGCAGTATGCATACCGCCCAAAAGCTTGGGCAGTTTGCATACTGTTATTACTGCCCGTTTTCCGACATTAACCCGCGCCCTGGTGTGGGTCTGAGCCACCTTCGCCCTGGTGGGGGGGGGGGGGCCAAAATGACCCCCCCCGTCTAACTCGAAAACGAAGAGGGCTAGGAAGACGCAGAAAAAAGCAAACGAAAGCCCATAACAAGTACGTTCGAAAGTATTTCGGTCATTTTTTCGCTAAGGTCAATATTGAGGTCGCTAGAGGTCATCATAGGTCAAATTTCAGTGTTTTCGGTGTTGCCGGACATATTCCGCTGTAGCTCGGAAACTAGAAGAGCTAGAGAGCCGCGGAAAAAAGCAATCGATAGCTCTTTTCAAGCTCTTTCGCCAAGGTTCGTCAGATTTGACCTCAGCTCAACGGTTTGGCCTACAGAGGTCATGCAAGGTCAACTTGGCAAATTTCGTTGAAAATGTTTTTAACTATAGCATGCATTCACGAGAAAATAGAGAAACGATTCATGCACCATCGTGCTTGGCTCGTCGAGACGCGTCGAATGATATATAGTTTGACCTCGAAAGGTCATTTTGAAAATTTGACCTCAGGTCAAGGTCATGACCTTACCGAAATAGGTCATGCTGCATATCATTCGATCCGCATTGACGAGACAAACACGATAAACGTCGAACGGAGTCTCTATCTCTATTCAATAACAAGTAAGTGCAGAAAAACCGCTGGTGACCTCTGGTGACCAGGGAGATGACCTAGCGTGACCTCAGCGAGGTCACAAGCAAATGGTTTCACATGGGCTGTGATTTGCTGACCCAAGACACTTCAATAACGAAATATAGGAACAATCACGCCCGATTTAGCTGAAAAACAACTACTTTTCGATTCTCCCATTGACTTATAATGGGGAGCAGCGATGACCTGACCTGACCTTAGGTCACATTTATAAAAAATCCGAGATAGCCATTTTGTAGAGCTGGGTGACATCTTCAAGTACTGTAAATTTTACATCGATCGGATAAAAGCTGTGCCTTTGAGAGAGCTTTGAACTTTTTTAGAGGTGGTGTCAGTTTTGGTGACCTTGTGACCTGACCTGACCTGACCCGAACCCCCCAAAAAAGGACATGATGTAAAAATGTTGAATAAACAGCTATACAAAGTTTCAGGGCGCTAACTCAAGTGGTTTCTGAGTTATCGCTGAAAAACCACAGGGGGGGGCCAAAATGGCCCCCCCCCACCAGGGCGAAGGTTAAGTTGTGTAATCCATGTCCACGGCTCCATGGGCGTCACCACCACTAGGGGAGTCCCATACGAATGAGCTAGCCACAAAAAAGCTAGTGTTGTTTGAGCTAGCTCTTTGGGCTAGTGCCATAAAATAGCTAGTGCGATTGTAACTAGTCCTACAAAGCAGCTAGGAGCAAAATGACTAGTGTTGTAAAGGGCTAGTAGATCGGCTCACGCCGTACCTCTTCCGGATTTTATAAGCAAAGTTCAGTTCAGATCAGATCGGTCACTAAAAAGTCGTAATATTGAAAAAGACAGAAACATACGACTCAGATTTTATTCTCAAACGTTCATCGAAATGTTGTATGCAACTCCTCGAAGAAACTCCTACCTGTCTATGATATCTTCTGTGAGACGGCGAATGAGGACCTTAATTTGTTTATTTATATCGGCATAATTTTTCTCTTGTTTTTAAACTTCGTTTCCTGCATTGAATTTGTTAAGTTCGGCAGCTTGCAGCGCTTCTCCTTTTTGAATCGAGGCCAGAAAACGCCAAAGTGACGGGTGTGGCGAGTCCATCATTCCATGGATTGCCCTGTGCCACCCTTCAATTT